ATGAATCTCAGGAAAAGAGAAACTATTTTACAGTATTTATAGTTATTTATAGAAATTTATAAATAATGACTACTGCATTGTGAATATTCTTGTTTACTTGTACAAATTAAAATACTCTTACTTTAACTATTAGCCCCCCCCCCTTGCAACAACTCACTCTGGAGATCTGAATAGCTTTCCACTTTGGGCAGCTTCCATAAACATCTGAAAATGACCACACACCATGTTATCAAAAATAAGATTATTAACAGTCTTAGAATCTGGGGGGGGGTGGGCACTGATTTTTATTTCCTTATATCAAAATATGATTGGATACAAATTATTCTATCCATCAATCTTGTTTTCCTATTTCTATATTCCTATAAGATGGTTGTACCCTTATTAGATACTCTCTCCCCCACTAGAACACAGGGCTGAATTGAATTGCTACCCCCAGGGTAGATCTATTGAATCAGCTGCTAAATGTTGATCCAACTTTTATGTAAATCCTACTGATTCAAGGATGTAAAGTGCACATAACAGAATGTCTTCTGCAGCTGTGACCTGATTATATATAATCCATCCTCCAAATGGAAGTTGGATCCATCTTCACTGAGTTTTCAACAGCGAATCAACATTGTGTACTCTACTCACACCTCTGGCTTTTAAAACTCTTTCTAAAATGTTTTAAAATACTGGCCAAAACCCTATTGTGTTTGTATAGCATAGACCCCTGTCTAACAGGTGTGCTCTCAATTATGCATCTGAACATAGGACAGATGGAAAGAAAGTTGCAAAAAACACTTTAACGCTTGTCCTGTGCATGTGATATTTAGCAAGAGGATTCTGGCCAATGTTTGCATTCTGCTTTGTTCTTAAACTTTATATCATCACCACCAGCACCACCACTATCATCTTCTTCTTAGAATTGCAGAGCTGGAAGGAATCCTATGGATCAGTGCATCCAGCTCCTGTCAAGGAAAAACAATGAGAAACTGAATGCCCAACTTCTGGCTCCACAACCGGATACCTATAAACCACCAAACTACCCAGCAGTTCTATTATTTCATATTGCTTTGATTCTTGCATCTTTCTCCTTCCCATTTTTATATTGCATTGAGCTGAAAAAGGACTTTTTTTCATTTTCATGTGGACATTTATGCATATTGGTGTGCATATTTTCTAATGTGTGTATCATGCATGCATTTTTCCCTTCATGTATGCATTTTGACACATTTTCCCCCCTCCCTTTGTCTAGAGTATGTTTTGGCACATTTTTGAAAAAAGGATACAATTTAATTGTATACGTCTACAGTGGTGCCTCACTTAACAGGCGATCCGTTTAGCGATGAAACCGCATAATGATTAAGTTTTTGTGATCGCAAAAGCGATTGCATTGCAATGTTTTAAATGGTTTTTTTTTCGCTTTGCGATGATCGGTTCCCTGTTTTGCTTACTGATCATCGCAAAGCAATGATTTTTAACAGCTGATCGGTGGTTCCAAAATGGCCGCCGGGTAAAAAAAAAAAAGGGCCACCCACTGTGTGTAGGGACAGATTCCTCACTTAAGAGGCAGCGAAAATGGCCGCCGTATGGAGGATCTTCGCTTTAAGGTGAGTTTTAAGCCCATAGGAATGCATTAGGGTTTTAATGCGTTTCTATGGGCTTTTTAAAATCGCATACCGATGAAATCGCTTGGCAGCAATTTTTGCTGCACGGATTAACGTCGCTATGCGAGGCACCACTGTATTTGCATATAAATTGCAAAAAAATTAAAAGAGAAAACAAAGGAAGTGGAACCTAGCCAAGTGATGAGAATCTGAAAGATACATGCACACTTGTTATATATTTTGACAGACCAGAATTTTGATGAACAGCTTTAAAAAAAAATTAAGGCACATTTCTTTTCCAGGCCTAATAGAAACCAAGTTAACATGAACTTCACCCACTTTTTCAGAACAAATGGTCACAAGAGCTGGGTTTTCAAATGAAAATTTACATGCAAGATACTAAGGATTTGACTGGCGGACATGGAAGTGTTACTTTTCTTTTCCATTTTTTTTAAAAAACAGAAAACAAATACAATGACAAAAATACAAATAATAGTGCTTCCTATACACTAAATTCTACTGTGCACCCCGTACTTAGGGGATCCCATTGAACAATATTTTTATTACAAACTTCCTTTCCAAAATTGTATAGGTTGGTGTTTAGAGGCTTTCCCCTTTCCTTTCATTAATACAAATTCAACAAATCTATCCCAAATAGCATAAAAATATTGGAACTTATTTCCCCTCTTTTCATATTAAGTGCAATCGTCAATTTATCATTTAATGCAATGTTCCATACTTCACCATACCAATCTTCTAGTTTAATATCGTTTTCGTCTTTCCAAAACCTAGCTATTAATATTCTAGCACTTGTCATAAAGTTAGTAATCAATTCCTTCAAGTAATAATCAAGATCTATCTTATCAAAAATTGACAAAAAAGGAATTTTAGCATTAAATTCAATATCTTTACGAAATATATCACATATTTCCTTAAAATGTTAATTTTCTAGCTGAATGCATTTACAATGGGAATAATCTTTATGTAATAGTGATCATAGTTATGGTAATAATTATTTCAACTCTATATGATTGCATTACAATTCCAAGTCCTTTTAAATCCCAAGGGACATGCCTGCAGCCTCATAAAGACTGAGACACTGTGTATTAATTGATTGTTTGTTCACAAATCTTCTGTCTTGTTGCCGGCACATAACAAGATGATTTCAAGACAGCAATCTCACAAGTTCTACATGTCTCAAATCTGACATTTACTCCATATCCTTCAGCTGGTTGTACAAAGAACAGGAACTCACTGAGGTAAGTTCAAGTTCATGTTTCTTTATTTGCATTAGCTATATACACTCACTGAGGTAAGTTCAAGTTCATGTTTATTTGCATTAGCTATATAGCTTTGCAGGCTATATATCACATAATATCAAAGAATAAAACTAATACTGTACTCCAAAACCAGGCAGACAACAGGTATGGCACAGGACTGGCTAAGATCTATACAATCAACTAATACTGTACTCCAAAACCAGGCAGAAAAATACATCAGACACAACAGGTGTGGCACAGGACTGGCTAAGATCTATACAGTAAGTTAAGATTCAAGGCACAGAATTAGACCTAATTTTGATAGAAACTGTCAGATGCTTTGAATGCTGTACTGTCCCCTGTTTGGTCAAAATAGAAGAACAGGAGATACATACAGGAGAAGTCTCAGATAGAAATCAGTAATGTAGTGGTGAACATTTTCCATAAATCACTGTCCAAGGAACAGGATAACTGTACATGCGTGAGTGCTTCATTGCCATCAATACACGGGAATGTGTGATTTTGCAGTAGAGATCTCTAAAATCACCTGCAAATTACATGTTGAGCAGATCATGAAATTCTGCACTTGAAAAATGCCTCTAGAATGTTTGAAATAATTAGATCTTGCATATTATTATGTGCTGTAGTATTTGCAGGCCTAAGTAACAAACTGTCATACCAAGCACATGGTTTTCTAGTGGCAGACAAGTTAGTGTGTTGTTCAGTATGGCACAGATACTGCCTTTGGCTGATCTCTCACTTTCCTTAGACCAAGAGTTAATAACCATTGTGGTGAAAACCCAGAAGAGCAAAGTTTAGACTTGTTGGGTTTCATTTGGAAATCTAGAAAATCTGAAATCAAGAAAAACTAAAGAAATTAAAAAATCATGGAAATCAAGGAAAACTAAAAAAAAAAAAAAGCAAGTCAGTAGGGTCAGGATTCAACCCAAATCAGTAATCAGTAATTATATGTTCTAAGCTAATCTTGCATAGAAATAGCATCAAGGCAACATTCTAATCACAGGGAGACATTTGGAACATAACCTGGTGAGGAAACATTTGTCTGAAGAGTCTGGACTGCATCGTTTCTAAAGAAATGAAGTGGGCTTTGTAGATTTCCAGCAGATAGAGCATGTGATTATGAGCATTGGCATAGAAGAAATGGCTGTGCTTTGTTATAACATATGCCTTTTGGGCCAGTCTTATCCTCGATGCTTGAATTGTCAACTCAAGTATTCAATTAAGGTAATAAGAAAAGTGTTTTAACTGATCCTAACAAGCATTATTCTGGCAGAAGGAGGTGGGAGGTGAATGCCCCTCCATCCATATTTCCATTCTTCTGCCTCTCCTTCCCTTCATTTCTTACTGAACCCTTCAGTCTGAATCCAAGCCAATATTTTAAAAAGGATTCCCTAACAATCAAAGGTTATACAATTTGAACACCCAATAAGTGAGGAATTTGGAAAAGGATCTGTCCCTGAACAAGCTCATGGAATCCAATAGTGCACAACTTTTGACTAAATGGCCTACAGTAGTTCCAGATCAGTCTAATAGCAAAAAGCTAGGTGATGAACAACCCACTCTCTATCCTCACAGCTTCAAGATTTTGTATGCATTCAAGTTCCCAGACATTTGTTCTTGCCTTCTGTGTTTTAAGACTTACTCTTGGTTTCTCCTTCACAGATTTTTTTAAAGCTGTCATCACATGGTATCTCTTTCTGTGCATAATATTATTTTGATTGCCTTACAGAGCAAAGGCTTGAATTAAGGTTGTCAAGAATATAACTATAACTTGCTGTGGAAGCCCTTACAGAGCAAAGGCTTGAATTAAGGTTATCAAGAATATAACTATAACTGCTGTGGAATACACATGAGAAAATGCAAATGGTTTTTGCAACATCATCAAGAATATCATTTTGCTTTGCAAGAGTGATCTGCAAAAAAATAATACTAATTTATAATTGTTTTGGTAAAAAATGCAAATGGTTTTTGCAACATCATCAAGAATATCATTTTGCTTTGCAAGAGTGATCTGCAAAAAAAATAACACTAATTTATAATGATTTCAGTAACACAAAGCAAAAGTAAAGAGTAAGCATGGATGAAGGAGAAGACTAGATGGACTAAGGATGTGAAATATGTTACTGGCAACATGAGTAGGCAAGGAAATGCCACCGTTTTCTCTGAATTTGTACTGGTAGGATTTGCAGAGACTCAACAGTTTCGTCTTGTGATCTTTGTCGTGTTGCTCTGTCTCTATATGGCCACCTTAATGACAAACATGATGATTATTCTGATAGTAAAATCTGACCCTGTCCTGAGCACCCCAATGTATTTCTTCCTGATGCACCTAGCCTGCTTAGAGGCTTGCTATATGTCAATCATCATACCCAAGCTGTTGGAGATTTTGTTAATGAAGACTACCATTATTTCTTTCCAGGGATGTGCCATACAAATGTTTCTTTTCCTGTTTTTTGGAGTTGCTGAATGTTTTTTCCTAGCTGCCATGGCCTTTGACAGGTATGTTGCAATATGTCACCCGCTGCGCTACACGATCATCATGAGCAAGAATGTTTGTTGGACGATGGTGACTGGCTCGTACACATGTGGGACTATTGTTGGGCTGGTCCACACCACTGTCACATTCCGTATGCCATTTTGTGGCATGACAGTCAATCATTTCTTCTGTGAGATACAGCCCCTTTTGGAATTGGTTTGTGGAAACACGTTCTTAAATGAAGTCCAAGTAATTGGAGTGGCCCTGATGGCTATCATGCTACCATTCCTACTGATCATCTTATCTTACATTGGCATTATCTTCACTATCACAAAAATGCCAACCTTGGATAGAAGATATAAAGCCTTCTCCACATGCTCCTCACATCTAATAGTTGTTGTTCTCTTCTATGGCACAGCTAGTTCCATGTATTTGAAACCCAAATCCAGCTACTCTCCACCAGTTGACAAGGTTCTATCATTTTCTTACACGGTTATCACCCCTTTGTTAAATCCAGTTATCTATAGTCTACGGAACAAAGAAATCCAGGGAGCCCTGAGAACATTGTGGAAAAAAATGGCTTTGCAGAAACTGTAAATGTGGATTTATGTGTGGAGGGTTGAAAAAGGTGTGGTAAAATAAATTTGAACATATCTCAGATTATTGAGATCTTTTGTTTTATACGCAATTACATGTTGGGCTGTTTGGACAGCCAGTTTCATCTGTATCATTCCTAATGGACACAGAATTCACTTAATTGATCTTCAAGTAAAGTATTTTACTCTGTTAAGTACAAAGGCCGTGTCTCTCCAACAATGTTACATTAGTCATGCTTATTTTCTGATTGTAGCTAGTAAATGGTCCTTCCTTGAGTTGAAACCTTAAATCTTGCATACCTCTGGGAAACCAATTTCCACATTTGTATGACACACATTATAGTACATATGTTTGCTATTTACATCAGGATCATGTTGAGGCTTATTGTTTATTTATCATGATTCAGGAACTAAGCGGGATTGTTGGGGATAGGGGATTTTGGAGGTCACAGATTCAGAGATTGAACATACTGTAAATCTAAGGTTGAGAAATCCAATTTTATAATAACCTTAGTACTGCAGACCTGGAAGGGACCCTATGGATCATCAAGTCTAGCCTGATGAAGAGACAGAGTCGGGAATCAAACTCCCAATCTAAACCACTGAGCTACTCAGCAGATCTCAATCTACTCTTTCTTTCCCTAATAGATTTCTATTATCACACACTACATAACAGAGATCAAAACTCTATGGCTACTGAGCATACTCAGTTGTTGTTTGGCTGTTTTGGCTTGCTTGCTTGATGTTTTTGTTTTCCCTATTAGATTTTCCTTATCCTCTCAATATTTTTTTATTTTAATTCTGCAATAGAAACTATGTTAAAGCCAGTGGTTCTCAGAGACCATATTGTAACCACACATCTGTCATAGCTCAGCATTTATGTTTTCTGCTGCTGTTGGTCCATGATTCTATGTGTGAAGATCCATTTAAGTATTATACTGGTTCATTTTGTACTGATAAACTTAAAAGTGCAAAATAATTAGTACAAAGTGCAAAGTAACATCAATTTGGTAAATATAAAATTAAGTGCAAATATATGGCAATTAGACTTGTATTTTCTGATCTGTTGCCTTTGTTTTGGTCAGAAGTGGGTATCAATGGATTGACAGTTATGGCAATTAAGTGGTAAACTGATCCCTGTTCCATGAGCTAAGATTCCAATTTACTGCATTATTCTATACAAGCATAATAGGTCTTCCTTGTGTTGGAAACAGCTCTACCTATGGAATTTCGCAAGTTAAAAGGTGTTTGTTTGTTTGTTTGTTTACTGATTTAAGTAAAATGAATTTTAAAAAGAATTCAGAAAGAGTGGGTGAGAATTCCAGACTTCACTGCAGGTACATGATCTATACAGCAGGAAGAGTATATCTCCTGGATTGCTTTTCAAGTTCTTTCCTGAAGAATTTGCATAAATACCATATCTGATATATTACAAATTTGAGATTTTAAAAATTAAGATGCATGTGTCAATGACACTGACAAATTTTTCTCACCTGTTCTTTTGGCCATTGTAATACAGCAGCCACTGAGGTAATATATGTGTAATACAGCAGCCACTGAGGTAATATAGATTTGCCTGCTTCCTCCTTTCTTCCTGGGATGGAAAATGACAATCTCCAGAGCTCTATTTCCACCCTTTTCTATAAAGGAAAAGGTAATAACCAGATGTAGCTTTCTCACCATTTTAATCTTCTTCCTCCATGCCAAAATTAAATGAGGTAGGCCAATGAAACACAATCAAGAACCCCTTCATTTGCAACCTGCTAATGGAATCTTGCCCCCTTTCCGGAATCTCACTGAATGTAGTGTATCTTTAGCAGCAACAACAATGGAGCAAATCACACTGAGTGCCCATTTATCTCTAAAACCATCAGTGTACACACCTTAAATATTACCATTTACATCTGTTATCAAAGCACTAAAATATTTAATGTGGTGATACAGTGGTGCCTCGCAAGATGATGTTAATTCGTTCCGTGAAAATCGCTGTCTTGTGAAAACATCGTCTTGTGAAATGCGGTTCCCCACTGGAATGCATTGAAATCTATTTAATGCGTTCCAAGGGGGGGAAATCGTCGTCTTGCGAAAATCGGCCATAGGAAAACCGTTTTGTGAAGCGCAGACCCAGCTGTCAAAATTGTTGTCTTGAGAAAAACCATCCCTAAAAAAAACCATCTTGCGAAGCACGGACCGAGACATTGTCTAGCGAAAATCGCCCATAGGGAAAACCGTTTTGTGAAGCGCTATAGTGATCGCAAAAACCCATGGTCTTGTGAATTAACCGTTTTGCGAGGTAATCATCTAGTGAGGCACCACTGTACATACTCATGCAAGGATATATTTTATAATCATGATTCTGCGTAAATGAAGAGATATCTTTTGCAGGTGGTAATATGTTGATTTCATAAGCCAAGGTACGAATTACATTTTCTGTGCTATTCTGGCCTATATGAGTGTTCACGCTATTGTCAGCTTCAGCAAAGGGCAGCTTGAATGTTCACAACACCAGTAGCAGCAGTCAAGATGGTCTACTGGATATCATCATCTGCTCACTATCATTCATGAAATGACACGTACGAATTACATTTTCTGTGCTATTCTGGCCTATATGAGTGTTCACGCTATTGTCAGCTTCAGCAAAGGGCAGCTTGAATGTTCACAACACCAGTAGCAGCAGTCAAGATGGTCTACTGGATATCATCATCTGCTCACTATCATTCATGAAATGACACCATGCAAAGGATAATCCCAAAAGCTGACTCCATTTTTCATCAGAAAGCCACTTCTCACCCAAATACACCCAATTGTTAGGGCCGTTTTTCAAGTATGAATTAAAGAAAAAAATATTTTAAAACCGAAAACAAGAAGTTATACAAATTTTACAGAAGAATTAAATAAACATGTTATTAAAATGTTAAATAGAAAAATTATAAAACATATTTTTAAAATAACAAAAACCACAAGCAGTCAATTTTGAAACTGTTAGAGCCAGTCAAAAATTGTGAACATGGGGAGCTGGCTATTTGAATCACGTTATTGTAAACAATTCTAAAACAGAGGCTTTTGTGTGTTTTCCTAGATACAGTGTGGGTTGTTAAGGCTATAGCTTAAGAAAGTTATGGGAGAGCATTATGGGTGACAAAGTAAGTGGGAACCTAAAGGAACAAAATCCAACTTTTCTCTGTGGTCTTCAGGTTCTCATTCCTTTGCCACAAGAATGTGGTGACTATGTAGCCAAAGTTCTTTTGGATTGTGGCTCTGTCCCAAATATAACACTAATTTTAGCAGTTAACAAAAAAAGTTAGCTGAATAGCTCAGTGAGTTAGGCATCAGGATTCAGAACCAGAGATTGAGTTCAGTTCTTCACTGTGTCTCCTAGGAGAAAAGCCAGCCTTTTTGGTCTTAGGTAAGCTGCACAGTCCCAGAAAACCTCTTGTAGGGAGGAAGAGTAAAACCTTTCTTAATTCCTTCTGGAAGGCAAATAGTCCAGTTTAAAACTGGATCAATCACACCTCTTGTGTTATGGTATAGTTAAATATGAGATGACTTCAGTTTTCTCCAGTCAAAGTCCTTTGTAATTTATTAAATACTGTATGTTAAAATATAATTAGGGAAAACAAAGCATTGACACTGTCTTGTTGCCTGAAAGTCTGTTACTTGGTGTATTAAATTGCAACTAGAGTACACCCATTACATCAGTGGCATTGACAAATGACTCGTCAATTTCCCACTGATTTAATGGGTATATTCTAGTTGTGACTTATTTCACAGAGCAACAAGATTTTAGCCATTGTCTTATTAACATTTCAGATTATGGCTCTGCGTTTGTAGCATATATACCTATGGGGTTTGCTATTTATTATTATTATTATTCATTCATTCATTCATTCATTCATTTATTTATTTATATCCCGCCTATCTGGTCGGTTAAGACCACTCTAGGTGGCTAATTCATGTTGGTAGCGCAAATTCATGTTGGTCTTAATACTCTATATGTATAAATACCTGGAATGGCTTGCCGTAAGTTGTAAGCTATAATAATAATTATTAAACAAGTCAATGACACTATTCCAGTTGGCTGAAAAGTTTATTCAGCCAATGTGCAGAGATCTGAAAACTATTGATCCTTGGACAGGGGACATGTGGTCCAGAAATGTAACTTTTCCAAACTCTTCCACGCAAGCTCTGAACATGCTGAAACTTTTCTTCACTTTTACAACCAAAGGGGCTATCAAATTAAGCAGAAACGTTTCCTCTACAAAGGTTCTAGATATATATTTTTTTAAATCAGATGGTCGACTGCAGAGAGAAAACCAAACACTTTGGAGAGGTAATTATTTTCCCTGTTATTACCCAGAATACTGTAATTGACACTCTTCTACACAGACGTCTCACATGACCAAAGAAAAGAAAAAGAAATCAGTCACAAATTCAGATCAAAGCTTGCTGTGTCAATTGTAATATAAATAGTTTTTCTGCCACTCACTGCAAACTAGCCCAAGCCAACCATAGCTCCATCATCATGTGGTTGATTGAATTCATTCTGGAAATAGGTGTATCTACTGTAGCGTTCACCCTGTCTAAGTATATTATGTGAAACATTTTGGTGGATATGAATTTCCTTTCCAACAGATTTGAAGATATAAGATGCTTTTCTTCCTCATCTTGCTTCTGTCCTTCTTTCAGACAACATACATGATCTCAAGGGTCAGCTGCAAATCAGCAACACAAAGATACAATGATGGCTATTTTAAGCCAGGTAATCATATTGTCAGTGCCGTTTTATCTTTACGTGCTGTCGGGCTTCCAAACGAATTATTCAAAACAGTACCCGGGAGTGGTCTGCAGTTTGAGTAAGTGAAGATGTAGCTTGCATTAAGTGCATCCATTCAGATTGTGAACTTGCTTGATACTATATGATTGTCAAATACATTTGTATAGAAGATACTAACAGAACTACCCTTTGTGTGTTTACCAAGCAGAAAAGGCAGCAACAGGTTTAACAGAAATTGCTCCCAAACAGGAGCACACAGGAGTCCAGCTGCTGGAGTTTGGTGAGATTGATTTCAAAAGGGTAGTAATCCACTCTGGATCTCATTCTAACTTTAGCAGGAGCTATCGAACACGTGCAACCTGTTTGGGGGATAGAGTTCAGCACCTTAGATAGCTCCTTCAAAGCTCTGGTGAAAATCCAAAGCTGATGTACTACCTAACTAGTCTTCACAGCTTGCAGTCTTCATCCAGTCTGGACAAACGGTGGGTGAAGGCTTGGGGCCAGTTCATTAAAGAACTAGTACTGAAGAGTTAGAAAGAAAGAGAGATCACTACAGCATGAGTTGTTTTTTCGTTTTATGCATTTCATAAAAAACAAGCTAAGCCCTTGCTTTCACTCTACTCCGATCTATTAGAATGCAATTTATTTCTACAAATATTATCAAATATATCTGGATCCCCAATTTTCCCTGCTGCATTTCTTTTCTCTTGTCACCACCTACTGCCGCATCTCAGTTCTAAATGAAACCTGGCCTTTGCTTCCATGTTAAAACAGCAAGGCAGATGAGTTTCTCATGCTTTTCTTGACAGCCTGCCTTATATTTTCTTTATTCCTTATGTGTAAGACAAGAACAAAATCTAGCCCACATTAAAGCCTACAACAAAACTCCTAACCATGGGAATGGTGACTGTCTACTGAGTTATTATTAAGCTGAATTGGAAGCCAGACATTCTGAAGTCCACTTAAAGGTGAACATGGACATGCTAGTGTTGCTGTTATAGGGGTACCACTGGAACGTACATAATCCTCATTAAGAGTAAAACATCTGTTTAGTGGAGAAGAGCATTGATACAGATCAGATTACATAATACTGTATTTGAAGTATCATTAGCAAATTTCTATTTCCTTTTAAGGGCAATTTTAGGTGTTTTACAGGAATTATGAGTGCAGTGCTTCCAATTTTATATTATCAATGTTCCAAGGTTAAGAGTGAAACTATATTGCTTCCACTGTAGGTTGGTGAGAAAGAACTACCAGCATGCCTTGGCTCTTATTTTTGCCACAGAAGAAATCAATAACAATCCATATATTTTAAATAATATCACCCTGGGCTTCCACATCTATGACAATGTCTTCAGTGACAAATTCAACTACGATGTCACTCTTTCTTTGTTGTCTATTAAAAAAGAAAACTTCCCAAATTACCGATGTGGAAGGCGGTACAAAATGTCTGCTGTTGTCGGAGGACTAAATTCTAGAACGTCCATGCAGATGGCCAGTATTTTAGGTCTCTACAAGATCCCCCAGGTAAGAATCCATGAGCAGAGTAAAAGAATGCTGTGTAGAAATTCATCACACAAAAAATTGCTACTCAGATACCAAGCAACAGCCAAATGCCTACAAAAACAAGTAAATCAAAGGCAGTATAAGTGTTTTTGGGAGGGCAGGCTGGATCACTAGGCACAATGGTGTCATAAAGAGTTACCAAATTGTTACTTATTAATTTTTCAATATTGTACTTTTTCTGGTGTGCAAGAGGGCTGCTTTGGGTGGTCCAGGGCACAGTGGAGGTATAGATTGTCAGGTAGCAAAATGACAGTTCAGTTCATTTGGTGGAGGCTGGACATTTCTAGGTTTTAATGTCATTTTTCCAGCACTCCTGTTCAATCATTCTGGAATCTGGAATCATCAACATAGTTTACGAGGTGAAGCTATCTTTGCTCCTCTCCTTCATCACTTTGCTCACTCAGACGATGAAGGATCTGAAGTAGAGACATGTGTAGGCTCTGAACATGAGCAGGAAATCTAGAAAATCTGGGTTCTAACTCATGTTTATAGGCTGCAAACAAGTATGATACTTTTCTTCTCCAGACATGTTGCTATTTACACAAGAAAAATAGTAAGACACGGTAGAGCTTATCTTCCTCCACAAAGAAACTAATGATTCCTTGGTTGTTCTGGGTTTTTCGGGCGTTTATAGGCTGCAAACAAGTATGATACTTTTCTTCTCCAGACATGTTGCTATTTACACAAGAAAAACAGGGAGACACGGTTGAGCTTATCTTCCTCCACAATGAAACTAATGATTCCTTGTTACCATATGACTGACTAAAGCTGTATCAGTATTTGGATAAGCCCATTTAAACACCTGACATGCCTATAATGACTGTGAGCTCCATCATCAATGCTTTCAAATGAGACAAGCCAGTAGTGTCTCTGCTTGGGATGTAATAAATATTCTCTGTAATTCTTCATTGTCTTCAGCTTAGGCTACCTCATCTCAGCTCAATTTGAACATCAAAAGACAAGTGACATTCCCTACCCTTTAATTTTCAGTAATATTTGTGTAGAACTGTATTTCCCTTTGAGAAGAAAAGCACATCCCTTCAGGAAGTGTTAAACAGCTAGGTAAATGTTTAAAAATATGTCTTCCAGTGCCTCTGAGCCTTAAAATATCTTGCAAAATAAAGCAGCAGCCTTCCTCAACTGACACAACTTGAATTATTTTCATTAAAGTGTTGTTTATACCAAAGATTTATGTTGTTGCAGATTTCTGGCTCTCTGGTCTATGGTAGGAGATAAGAATAGCATCATGGTTTCTTGGCCTCATGTGTGAGGATGAGACAAGCAATAAATTACATTCCTAGTGCCTTCTTGATAGCAATTATTATTTTTTTAAATGATGATTTATTTTGTTTTTCTCGTGTTTGGAAAAAAAATCTTCATGTTATTCTTTTCCAGCTCACTTATGGTTCGATCCACGCAATAATGAATGATATGATTCAGTTCCCATTTTCCTATCAAATGGTCCAAAATGAAGCTGTCCAGTATGATGGGATAGTGCAGCTGCTACTATATTTTGGATGGACGTGGGTTGGTCTCATTGTTTCAAATGATAACCACGGGGAAGAGTTTGCACAAGCTGTGAAATCAATTCTTAGTAAATACAGTATCTGTGTAGCCTTTTTAGAAAAGGCTCCACCTTTCTCTATGGCTGTAACCAGTAACGGATCCCCATACTATATATTCAATAATGTACAAACTTTGAACAGTCTTCTTTGTACAAAAGCCAATGTGGTTGTTGGGTATGGGGACACATCTTATATGCTTGGTTTAGAACTATTGCTCCATCACAGTGAAATATTAACCAGGAGCTTGATACAGAAGATTTGGATCACAACAGCACAGTGGGACTTCACTTCACAGGTTTTTCTCAGTGCCTGGGATGTCAAATATTTCCATGGTTCCTTGTCTTTCACCATCCACAAAAATGATCCTCCAGGATTCCAGAGCTTTCTCCAGAACTTTAACCCCTATAAGCACTCTGACAGCAGTTTTATCCAACAGTTCTGGCAGGAAGCATTTGGTTGTGTAGTCTCTAATTCCTACAAGAGCACAGAAAAACTGAACATCTGTACAGAGAAGGAAAAGCTGGAAGGCCTTCCTCAGACAATATTTGAAATGACTATGTCGGGTGAGAGCTATAATATCTACAATGCAGTTTATGTCTTGGCATATGCTTTGCATACCATTTATTTATCAGAACATGTGAGGTGTTCAGGAACATCTGGACTGGAACATGAGATAATGCAGCCGTGGGAGGTAATAATATAATACCAGTACATTATCAGTAGACAGCTTTATGGTTAGTCATATTGGCCAAACTCCTATTGTAGACTTGTATAAAAGTTGAAGAACAGTCAAAATCCTGCTCTGTGGTTAATATCAGCAGACTTGAAATGGTGCAACTCAGAGCAGCTAGTTGCTGTTAATTAATTAGCCTCTGTTTGACTTCCTCATTGATCGTCAGTCTAGTGCACTGGTTCTTAACCTTGGGTTACTCAGGAGTTTTGGACTGCAACTCCCAGAAGCCTTCACCACCAACTGTGCTGGCTGGGGTTTCTGGGAGTTGCAATTCAAAAACATCTGAGTAACAAAGGTTAAGAACCACTGGTCTAGTGGCTTGATACACAACCAAGAATCCAAACAAGTGCATGCTAATTAGTGACCATTCGATGCTATGATTTATGTCATTTTCATTCAACAGATTAAAGTTCAGAACAGGACTTTGGCCATTGTTATGTAATTAAGTCTAACATACTTCCCATAAATGGGTTAGAAATAACATTGGACTTATCCCAGATTTTCAGAATTTAACACTGGAAAATTATGATGATATCTGTAACTGCTATGGGTCGAATCTAAAGAAACACAATAATAGTCCCTCTAAGAATGTATTTTTAATCAATGTGAAAAGCACATTGAATCTTTGTTCCTTAAAAACCTTTATCCTTTAATGCAAAGATGAGGTTCCCTTTTGCCTTCTAGCTTCACTCATTTTTGAGAAAAATCCATTTTAACAACAGTGCTGGAGATGAGGTGTTTTTCAACGAAAACATGGAATTATCCACGGGATATGACATTGTTAACTGGGTCACATTCCCAAATAAATCCTTTATCCAAGTGAGAATTGGAACACTGGCTTCCCAGGCTTTCTCTGATCAAAGGTTTATTGTAAATAAAGATGCCATTACATGGCCTAGCATCTTCAATCAGGTAGGTACTGCAGATTTTAGGATCTTGAGCAATGATGCTATGCCAGTGGTTAAAGAAATGAACAACTAATTTCCTGGGATTGTAAGCCACAGTCTTTGGTGATGTTTCCATTTCAACAGCTTCACCTGAGCTTCAATAGTGTTCCTGATAAGGCCAATAATATGTCTGTGGGTACAAGCATGGATGTGCATGAGTCTATTTATTCATGAAATTTATGCCTCAGCTTTCTTCAAAACAAAACAAAACCCAAATATATGCAAATCTATAAGTAAAGCATATTAAAAACAGAGTTAATTTTTGTTTACTTAATGTAAGATTACCCATTGTTTAAATTACATAACCAATAATTGAACCTCCTACAACAAACCAGCTTACAGCCCAAAGACCTATTGCAATAAAAAGGCTGGCAGGGAATGATAGAGGCTGAAAGCAATCGCTAAGAAAGCTTTTACCCAGGTTCCCAACAAACATGATTTGAACCAAGATAATAGCCACCTCTGAAATTCCAGGACCTAGAGATATACTTGAGCAGTATAAGGTATACGTAAAGGTTGCCCTTGACATTTAGTACAGTCGTGTCCGACTCTAGGGGACAGTGCTCATCTCCGTTTCCAAGCTGTAGAGCCAGCGTTTTGTTTGAAGACAATTTCCATGGTCACGTGGCCAGCGTGACTAGACACGGAACACCATTACCTTCCCCCCATAGTGATACATATTTATCTACTCACATTTGCATGCTTTCGAACTGGTGTAATTTGCACTCCAAAGTTTTTGATTAAAATAGTACAGTTATATCTTAAGGATGCTGTATCTACTCATATTTGCATGCTTTTGAACTGGTGTAATTTGCTCTCCAAAGTTTATGATTAAAAATAGAACAGTTATATCTTAAGGATGCTGAGAAGTAATTCAGAAATTACACATGCTGGCCTCACACATTGCATCCTCATTTTTATTGATCTATTGGAATTATTTATTTTTAATTTATTTTTATATGCCCTTTTTTCTCCCAACACAGTGACACAATTAAATCAATACACAATTAAAAGCACATTGGGATATAATATTTTAAAAAACATTTTAACTGTTTTCCACAGTGCCCAGTCAGGTAGCTATTGTTAACTGCCAAAAGTAACTAGACACCATCACAAATTACCTATAAGATAACTTTGTTTCTGCTTGTTACATTGCCATTAAAATGTAATTTTGCTATACCCCACTAACAAAAATGATTTTGCATTTAATTCTTTTATGTTCTTTTAATGTACACTAATTTACCTTTTTTACAACTGAGATGAATAGAAGTTAAATTTGGATCTACGTACATAGATTTCTGGCTGATTTCTAGCTGCAGCTGATTGACAAGGATTTTTAATTAATAAGAGCAGCAAAAAATCTCTCTCAACCAGCTTGAATTATACTGCTGAAATGAAAAATGTGGATGAGTTCAAGTTTTTCTTTTTCTTTTTTCCTATAAAAATCTTCAGGTATGAACATTCCTGTTCATTTCTGATATTCAAATCAAGGACTTGTGTTCAGGGTTCTTGAATACTATGTATTCAGTTGGTTAGACCATAAGATTCTAGCAAACATGAAAAGAATGCCCTACAACATTGAAGACTTTCCTCCATTCCTTGATAAAACAGAGGTTGAAAATAAAATACAGTAAATAAAATAAAATAAAATACAAGACTTCGTGTTCATTTGGTTGAATTGAATGGAATTCTCTTTCATTTATGGTTAGACATTGCCACAGTCAATGTGCTCTGAGAAATGCCATCCAGGATACCACATGAGGGTTCTTGAAGGATATGCATCTTGCTGTTATGATTGTATCTTGTGTCCAGAAGGGATTATTTCAAACCAAACAGGTAGGTGACTCCAATAATGTTTTTCAGTATTTTTGAGGAAGAAACCTCTGCTTCAGAATTCTCCCAGAACAAACAAGCAAGTGAGCAAAAATGAATTAATAAGATTTGTTTAACTGCAATGGTGTATTTTCCTGCAATGGCAAGATATATTTTGGGTGTTGTTGTTTTTTTAATGACCACTCATATTCATGCACGTTTTGTATTTTGAAGACATTCATCGGTATTATATAGTACCCTTATCATCAGCTGGAATAATTAAAAATGCATCCCCAAATGTAAAAATACATGCATATTTTAAATACATCATCCTAGCTCTTTCATGCTATTTATTTATTTATTTGTTTGTTTGTTTGATTTTTATCCCGCCTATCTGGACCAACGGTCCACTCTAGGCGGCTTACAATATAAAATCAGAAAATAAAAACAGTATCAAATATATTATAATAATATATTTCAGGGAGAACATGATTACTTGATTGAATGTAAAATCAAACATAGCTGACCAATCACACATCAAGTACTGAAGGACCACTATTTAGGTTAATTCCCAGGTAGCGATTCAGTGTTTATCACCATCAATTCGAACTTTCTAAATAATTTTTTCTGCTTCTTTCAGATGCACATAATTGCTATAGGTGCCCTGAAAATGAGCATCCAAACAAGCATCAGAATAAATGTATCCCTAAAGCTATAGCTTTTCTTGCTCATGATGACCCCTTAGGGATCAGTCTGATTTCTGCTACACTATTTTGTACCCTGCTGACAGCCTCAGTACTTGGAATATTTATTAAGCATCAGAACACGCCGATTGTCAAAGCCAACAATAGGGACCTTACCTATCTTCTGCTAATTTCACTCTTGCTCTGCTTCCTTTGTTCCTTACTGTTTTTTGGACGACCCAGCAAGATAACTTGCCTACTCAGACAAACTGCTTTTGGGAATGTCTTTTCTCTTGCACTTTCTAGTGTGCTAGCCAAAACAATCACTGTGATCTTAGCATTCAAAGCCACAAATCCTGGAAACAAGTTGAAGAAATGGGTGGGCAGAAGACTGCCCAGCTACCTTGTCCTTCTTTGTACTATTGTCCAAGTTGTCATCTGTGCCATATGGCTAGGCACTTCTCCCCCATTCCCAGATCTTGACATGGTCTCACAGACTGGGCAGATTGTGGTACAATGCAACGAAGGCTCAGAAACGATGTTTTACACTGTCCTGGCCTACATGGGTGTTCAGGCTCTTATTAGCTTCACCGTGGCCTACCTAGCCAGGAAACTGCCCAGCACGTTCAATGAGACTAAATTTATCACCTTCAGCATGTTGGTGTTTTGCAGTGTCTGGGTAACCTTCATTCCAACTTACCTGAGCAGCAAAGGCAAATATGTTGTAGCTGTGGAGATCTTCTGTATCCTGGCCTCCAGTGCGGGATTACTGAGTTGCATTTTTGCTCCCAAAGTATACATTATTTTGTTGAAACCAAATATGAATACCAGAGGCCATTTGTTTAAGAACAGTTGCAGTAAATGCCATTAGTAGAATGATATTGGAGTGAATCACACTGAGTGCCCATTTCTCTCTGAAACGATCTGTGTACATACCTTAACTGATACAGTTCACAATTGAATTAATGGTCATATCACAGGTATGTTTATTGTAGTAAAAGATGCACATGCATATATACATAACAAGGATGTATTTTATAATTATGATGGTGGGTAAACTGAGAGTTGTCTTGTCCAGGTGGCAATATGCTGATTTTGTAAATAAAGAAATGAATTAAACTTTTACCCACACAGGCAGCTACTTCCTCTGCAGATATTCAGGAAAAAAAATCTTGCTTTGATTTGGGTTCCTGCGTTGAGCAAGAGGTTGGACTTGATGGCCTTATAGGTCCTTTCCTACTCAATTATTCTATGATTCTATGATCTCTCGCCTTTTTAACTTGTCAAAAAAAGGAGAAGTCCTCAGTAACCACAGTTTCTTATTACTCAACCTCCACTGTTCTTTAGATTCATAAAAATGGGGAGAAGAATTGGGGAAAGAAGCCAAAAGGTAATTAAAAAACT